TATAGAGTATTCGCTGACGAAGACATTTTACTGAACAACGATTCAGGTGACATTTCGAAAATAATCAACATTGACATCGTGAATACATTAGTTTTTGGATAGCTCTCAATCGCATAAATATGCCATTTTACACAAAGCGTGGCCACACATCTGGTCTCCCTTTTCGTGCGACTTCAGTCGAAAATAAAACCTCATTTTTGTGTAATGGTTCATTTAAACTGACAAGCAAATTCTCTTCAGAAGAAAAACAAAACTTCGGCATGTATTGCGGTCTAGCATGTTTGTCATATAGGCTTATCGTTCTTTTTTATTTATTGGCAGATTGTGTTTTTTTTTCATTGCTTGAATCATTCTCTTGATTTCCCGTCGGTTTGCAGTAACGCCCCAATTATTGAACCCTCCAGATTTGTTGAACAATATTTCGGCCCCCCAAAACCCAATTATTCTGTTGATTTTCTGCAGACATCGACTTCACTCAAAGCAGACGAACTCGCCAAAATGTTGCCTTGAATAACATAGACTAACTGGTCCTGAGGCTTCATTCCGTTTTCCTCAGTCATGGCAACTTATTCTCTCACGGTAAGTATTTTGCTGTTTTTACTGAGCCATTTTCTCAACTATCAGTTCCCATCACATTTTATATGCCTAAACTCCAAAGTCATGCTCAACCTTAGGACATATCACCTGAGCGTACTACTGCAGTTGCCTTATTAGTTGTCGCTTTTGCCTCTAGTTCTCTTCAGAACCAGGACTACTCATTATTTTATTTTCAAATCTTTTTGAAAACAAATGAGCTTTCCCTTTACCCGTATTGTTTACAGTCAGTTTTGGATACCCACAAGCATTTAAACGTCACACTGCGATACATGCGAGATTTATTTGCGCGCTAGGTTAAATATTTTATCAGAAGAATGAACCGTTCCTAGCAATTGACGCTTCCTCCCTGTTTCCGTCTGGTCCAAAACCCAAACTTGCCGATATCGGAAAAAGTGTCTTCATTCTACTTGTTATTTCACGTAAAAGCTTTGGCTAGTTTAAGCAAGCTGCCTATGTTTTAAGTGTAGGTCTCGAAAATGCTTTTTTCTATTTAGTCCTTCCGACTGTCTACTTTTTCCTGTATTCTATTCTGCCATTTTATCGTTCTTTTTACCCTATTTCCCTCTCGCCCACTTATTCGTTATTAGGATTGACTACTACGCCTGCGTGTTATGAGTACGCCTTCTGTGCATTATTTAAAACTGACCTCTTTGAAATTCGTGCTCGTTTTCAGGATATATTTTACGGTTATTTTAGATGGTGAGGCATTTTTGCCTTCCCGGGACATGTTTTATTTTTACAAATCACTACTACTGTAACACAATGAGTAGGTGATATGACACAATTTAATATGTTGCTTTTATGTAGACCAAGTTGGTTGCATCTTCAAAATATATCCTCTCGAAAGTTCAAAGATGCGTCTCATACGGCGTTAGCTTTTCTCATTTGGATACCTTCTCCCCCGAATATCGAATTTCCCTCTCTGGAGCACACAATGTACTGATCATCCAGCCAGGTAATTTCATTTCTCACTTGTTTCGTTATGTGACCTTCTTTATGGGGATTGCGATTTTTACTTCCTCCAAATTTAATTAATTATTGGTCTTGCTTCTGTTTAAAAGGATTTAAACCGTTAAATATAATTCAGTCTATTCTACTGGCAAGGAAAGTCAACCTTAGTTGCTGTTCTTCTCTTATTTGTCAACCACCTTCAGACCAGGAAAACCTAAAATTGGAACCTATGCAAGTCTGCCCCATCCGGTTACCCACCTTCTCATAATACTGTTTCAAGGCCGTATGTTACGAAGGTTTCATATTGTGTCTATCGCGCGTCTTCCATGTTCTGCCCCTTGAGAAAATCGGCACCGACGTTAGCAAGGAATCATTGATGCACCCGCTAGTTTGTTACGGCCAAACCCCTTGATCTAATGAAGAGCACTTTAAGACAGTCACCTTTTTCTTGTGCCGGAATAATATTCAATAAATGCTTCCGACAGAACAGTTTTTAGGCGAATAGCATTTCCGGAAATGCCTAGGGAGACTGGAATGGCTATTTCTGGCTCATTGGCCGTCGTCAGCCAGTCATACCCAGTCCTAATTGGTGCACCACCCGAGACTCGAGCTGGCGACCATTTGATCCGAAGTCTGGCACTAACCATTAAGCCACAAGCTCATTGTCTTGCCAGTTTAGATCGGGGGCAATTTTTTTTTCACAGGCCCATCGATACATTGCGTTATCAAATATTAAACGGGAAGTGTACACAATCATCGGAAGTGGCACACATACACGCGCCCTAAAAGTTTCTGACTTTTACATTGTATGCCTGCCTCATAACACTAATTCATTGACCAGCGATTTGCGCGTTTGGTTCAAAACCTAGGCTGACGAGTGCAACTTGTGGGCCTACCTTATCATCACTTTATTTGGTAAATTTACTAGAACTGCCCTAGTAAGTTTGTAGGTCGATGACTAAGGTTCATCCTCCTTGTTCATATATATGTCATATTTGCTCAATTTAGCATTGCTTGGTAGTACTGCTTTGGCGTTATACAATCCCACACTGCACCGGTGTAACTGCGCAAACATCACTCAGAAATGGTTTCAATGAGTCTTCTCGACCGTTTTTAAAATAAGGAGCATCTATTTTTTTAGTTATTCGTCATGCCCCTCTGCGTCGTGAACTGGACCTAAACTCTAGTCTGAGTCGCCTCACACCGGGCGGAGCCCTTGTTAGCCAGTTGACAAAGGGCCCGGATGAAAAAGAAGCTGCATCCCTGATCGACTCAGTCGGTGGATGGAGCGTTGGAAAAGTGGTACGCAGTTTGTGATATTAAACTCCACTGCGTGTTGATCTACATGCATAGGACCCGCCTAACACTTCATGCCTAAGATAACTTATACCTTGAAAGGAGTTTCCTTTTTCTTTCTCTGTGCCCCACTAGGTTTCTGTTAACTTGCGCTCTCATGGTCCAGGAAGGGGTCAGTTTTTCACGAAAGGCGTCTGGCAGAGTCTTACTCAGACGGTGAGAAAACATCTTCAACAGACGGGAGAAGGCGACGATGATTATAACTCTGAATTGCCAATAACGGCTGTGTTTGTGAACTGGAAGCGTCTGCACGCGGAGCATCTGATTGAAATGCAGCGTGCCTGGAGTTGTCCAGTTTTTGACAGGTACGAACTTTGCTTTTTCCCTCCTCCTGCTTCTTTTTCTTTTTTTTCCATTGACGTCGTCTTCGCAAATTTGCGTTAAAATCCATACGACCTTGCTGAAGGAGACGGGCAGTAAAAGGGTTATAATTTGGTCGATGGAACAGGTGATGCAACTCGGTGGACTCAGACTAGTTGGGATGTTTTTAAGGTTCCATCTGCCAACCAAGAACAAGTAACCGGAAGGTGAAAAAAAACTTTATTCGGACGCTAGTTTCAGTGCACGTGTAGTCTGCTACTAACATTTATACTTGTTTTTAAATAGTCTCGATTGCTCTAGATGTATTCCAAGGCTTCCAAGTCTCCAGATTTATTCTTGTACCAACCAATGCGGAATTAAGAAGTCGATTTAAGGATGCATGCATAAAGATTTTTTTGGAACTTGGAAGGGGAGATCAGTAAACGTTTGAAGCAGTAGGATAGCCTACATATCCACATGGATACTTTCGGGAGGGCGTAAGCTCCTATAGCACAATTATGTGGCTTTTTACATGTTTGATGGTAAATGGAAAGGATGTGTTATATTTGGGTAACCATTTTTATGTCGAAGGCGATCGACAATAGAGCCTGGAAAGGTCTCTAGCAGCATTGCGGCGGCGCCCACGCATTAGCAAAGCGGTTCGAGCTGTTAGGGCAAGCACGGCTAGAGTCCATTTCATGGGTCCGTGTGAAGACTGTTCGCCAAGCCCGTTTGTCAAACTTGCCGGTTCTGTAACAAAGGTCGGTGAGATGACCTTGAAGAGACGACCTTTGCTCAAGGACGTGCGAGCTTCGCCTTATCCGGCGTTAGGAATCTGCAAAGGGGAACAAAGGAGATTCCTTTGTTGAAGTCGCCACCAGCGGCGCTTAGAAAGTTAAAAAGTGATGCCAGTATTGGGTTCTAATATTGGGCTGTGCCGGTTACAGCATCTACCGGAAAAGGTTTCCGGGACGCATTTACGGTGCCTTTTTTAGGTGGCCTGGTAAGATGCGGAACCAGGACCTCTCCCGTAATACAGGTGGCATCGCGCTAAATCCCACTGAGATTGGGCTTACAGTTAGGTTTAGTGTTCAAATTTTGGCAAGGCTTGTTATTAAGGCTGCGATTAGAACACCGGAATAACTGCCTCTCTTGAAGTTTAGCACTCAGGGATTCAAATAAGGCAACTTTTGATGGGTTGAATAACCCTGTGTTCGCAGACTGTCTCAAATTACCTTTCATTCGCTTCCTTCTACCCATCGGGTGATAACGGCAGAGAAACTAAGAAACAGAAGACCGGATGAGGTAGTTCGGTGGAGCGTTACACGATTGTGTGTCAATGGAGTTGATCACCTCAGTAGCAAATGTTGAGTTTCTGTCTTGTGTATCAGCCATCTTCCCGGTCTTCAGGTACACCCTCGTCATTCTACTCTTCCTCCAGCGTTCTCGAACTCGTGAAGCAAAGGCGCAGGCCCAGTTAGCAGAACTCAGTCTTGTTCGTAGTCGTCTGATGGCTATCACAGCCTGTGATCCTCAACAGGCTCGCGTACAGAACACGGATCACCTACAGCGCATCCTTGATGTGAG